GTGGAAATACGGCTAAAACCAGCGGCTGAAACCGTCGTAAAAAATTACAATAGGATGGCCGCTCTCAGGTTTCTCTCTGGTATTACATATATGGAGCAACCCTAGCCAGCGAATGGCGTATGGACTAACCCTCATGGTCCAAGAGTCAGAAGTGCACCAAGTGCACCAAGACCAGCGTTGCCGTGGAACTTGCCACACGTGACGTCACGCAGTAGAGAGATAGAGAGGTACGAGTCGTATCTCTCTATCTCTCTACTGCGTGACGTCACGTGTGGCAAGTTCCACGGCAACGCTGACCAAGATCCAACCGGCCTCTAATCCTAACCTAACCTAACCTAACCTAACCTAATCTTGTTATGGATGACAATGCAATGGACATGGAAACAGATTATGAGGATAAAACTGCAAATCCTAAGAAACTGTATCTTTTTAACAAGAAGAAAGATAAACTTGCTTTATTGCAAGCTCTCTTCAAGCATGGATATCCGGACTATTCTATCGACATATTCCCGGATCTGTCCGGAAAAGATCAAGATTTCTGCTTGATGAAGGTGCTTAAATATATGAAAACCTTTTTTAAAGACAAACCTTCGATAATTGACTTTATAAGAAGTGGAATGTTTCAAGAGAATGATTGCAACGTTCCGCTGGTGTTGTCGCTCATAGCACTATATGAAAGACCATGTGACGAAGAGAATGCAGAGTGTGATTTCAAGTAATGTACAGAACGTTCTTGATTTTTCTTTATTCCACCCTGAAACAATTACAAATTTATAAAAGTTATTAATAAATTATTTAAAAACAATTTTTTATTTTAATCTTTGTTTTATTCAGATCTTCAATAGATATTTATACATATATATATATATAACTTATCTATAATAAATATCTTTGTAGAGAAATATATCGGTTTCTTTACAAAATGACAACCAACCAACCAGCCTCGCATCTTTCATCTAATTCTGGAAAAGTTTTGTATACATTATTAAAAGAAATAACAGCTGAAGTATGGCCTGACATTCAACCAGATCTATTTAAATACTTAAGCAAAGTGCACAAATATAATAGACCAATAAACAGAAAAACATATTCAGGAAAACGTAAGATTCTATAATACTTTGTAATAGTAATTTTTAGAGTATATATTACGTAAATATCAAAGAGTAGAGGATTGTTCTCGGGTTTGTAACAGTTATACCAATGATAGTTTTTGAATAAAACAGCTATATCGAACCAAGGTGCAGGATCTTATGCAGATTGAGTTGAGATGGTTTTATGTATTTTAAACGTTTCAACCTTATTTATTTAGTCATCTTCAGTAGAAATAATAAAACAACATTCTAAGCATAAAGGTGTAAATGTCACAAGTTTAAAAGTCACATATTTAAAATTAGAAGTCACTGAATGCACTGTGTGAGAGACTATGACAACTTAATCTGCATAAGATCCTGCACCTTGGTTCAATATAGCCAATTTATTCAAATCTATCATTGGGGTATATATTATATACTCTAATAAAAATCTGCTTATGAAATGAGTAAGGGCATTTCAGAATGGGCATAACTTGACATGTTTCAGTAATGAAGAATATGACGATTGTGATATATTATATGTATTTGACACGCATAATTGTTTATAAAATTTTATTTAATTTGTTTACAATATATGCAATTACACATACAATTTTTAAACTTAAATGTTTAAGAATTAATTTAATCTTGGTAAAGTTTATATTGCATCTGCCAAAATAAATATTTTATTGANTNNTTTTTTTTTTTTTTNTTTTTTTTTTTTTTTTTTTTTTTTGTAGAAATACTTCAGAAGAAACGTGCAGCAAGAAGTTAGGCTTATATCATGCTTGCTCATCTTAAGTCATGTATAAAAGCTTCTATACTGCCCGAAAGAAATTAGATTTCTAGTACACTTCAAGTATATGATGTTTTTTTTCTATTTACATCACATTGGAAAATCACTCTACTTTGACTAACAAATAAAAATTAACATAATTTGGTACAAATTTTTAAACAAAAATTATATCCTATTCTACATATATTACAAAAATGAGTTATGTTGCTAAAAACCTACCATATATATATGTACAAATTTGTTTCGTCCTTGTTTCTTGCATTAAGATTGTATCTTCTCATAAGACGTATTTTTCTATAAGTAACGTGTTTAGATTTTTATATATCTTGTACTATAAAACTACAGAACGTATAATTTTTATTAACAATTGACGATAAACAGTTGTTGAGAAAATTGGACTACATACACATCTGCATTTTTGTGTATTACACATATATTTCGCGCAATACTCAAGTGTCAACGCGAACGATTAATATAAAAGCCAATTATTCTCGATCTTTAAGTTTTGGTTTTCTTAGGGCATACAAGACAACAACTTTGTAATTTAATATCTAACACAGGACAGCCCCGATCGCGAAAGAATATTATCTACAATACTGACATTCGTCCACCTATAGGACAGCGTTGGTTAGCTGGATTCCAATTAGTAACTTCTACAAAAGCGTTGTAAAAAAATGACTTCAGATCAATTCGATTTGTAACAAAGAGTAAGGCTATGTATAATCGTAATGTAGTAGATGCAAAAAAATATTAATGTATATAATACGTTAGATAACTTATGCATACATATGTATAAAAGTTAGTTATTTAAAATTTCCCAGACGTCATCTTCCGCTTTAAAGTTCTTATTCTGTTGTGCTTTAGTATTTGTCTCAAAACTAATCAGCGAATCTTCTTTTTTTTCTATTGACCTCTTCGATGTTTTGCTCGTTTGTTTTGTGTCATTGCCCCAATCCCAATCACAATATATATTCGAGGAACCACCAGTAAAAATATTACTTCTGAAACAGAAAAATGTCGATTGTTCAGCTTATAAAAGAAATGTATCACTATATTTATGAGAAAAAAAACTTAAATACAGAAAACTCAATAAATTCTCACTTTGAACTCGAACTTCTAACAAGAGATGACTTTTCATTAGAGCGATTTGATTGGATCAAATCGCTATTTTGATATGTGTTGGAGGAATCTTGATAACGGTCGACAGAATTGTATTGTCTTTGTTGGTCAGCTGAATTGGTCCCAGCGATATCACCCCATCCGCCTCGTCTTGTTATGTCACTCACCTGTGCATTATCTTCTCTTAAATTTCGTGACTTTTGATTATGGTTCTGCTTATTGACTTACAAAATGTTCTTTTGTTTTGTTTTATCCCAATAAGAACCTAATACCTAATACGAGCTTAGGTTACGACAAATAAAATAGTGTACCTTTGCAACCAAATGATTGACTTGAGTTCCAACATCTTCTAACAATGTGCCGTCGCGAACCTAAATGACGAACGATGTAAAAACCAAATTTAAAATTAAAACTTAAAAGAATATAAGAAATTATTAAACCTATAAATAACATAATTGAAGAAATTAAAGCATATGATAAACTTAATTATACAAAAAAAATCATATATAATTTCTCACTCTAAATCTTGTAGACCTTCAAATAAATAGAATAGGAAACAACTAAAGTACATGATAAACTTAATTATACAAAAAAAATCATATAAATTTTTCTTCACTCTAAATCTTGTAGACCTTCAAATAAATAGAATAGGAAACTCAATAACAATTTCGAGAATGGAACTATAGGCAATAGCTTGGTACTTACTTTTTGCGTCGCAAGTCCTCCGATTTTGATAGCATTCTCAGATGCCTTGTTTGCTATTTTCATTGCTGAAGAAGAGAATATTGACCAGCCCTGCAGAAATAACAATCAACGCAATAAAATAATCACTCTTGAATTATAAAAAATTAAATTAATCAACATCACTAAGCATTAAAGATTGTACACTGGCTAATGAGGATACTGCAGTATCGAACAATTCCTGGGACGAACTCTTGGGTGGTGGATCCATTTGGTAACCAAAGCCACTATATTTGCCACCTTGATTAGGTGGTATGTTACTAAAACAAATAGCAAATTTCTCTTATTTAAACAATAAAAGATAAATGTTGATAATGGACCCAGCCTTGATCATTTTGACCTTGACATATGTTGAAATTTAACAGATTAGATAGAGAAACAGAATAGACAGAAAACAAAATTTGAGTTTGTCAGTCGTCGTGAGGGGATAATGTCGAGTTTGTGAACAGCTAGATTGACTAAACAACTATGTACAGCTGATAAAGACTTTTCCTATATATAAATTTTATTTTTATCCAGTTACTGAAGAAGACCCCAATTAGGATAGAAACGTCTGTACTTAACTTTGAATAAAGAAGTTTTGAACACAAACATCTTGTTTTCATTTCGTATTCCCTCCCTTTTATCTGTTTTATTTATGAAATTGCTTTTGTTAATAACTTTTTAACAAACGACAGCTAAAACCTTTTTTGATTGTTACTCAGAGATGTGTCCTTGATAACATATGTCAAGATCATTGGGCTGGGTCCATTATTGTCAACATTTATCTAATGAAATTCACAAATTGTGTATAGAAAACAAATTATAAATTATGAACATAAAAAGCACATAAACTTACTCAGGACGATTTGCATTTTCAGTTTGTTTTTTTACAAAGAAATTTTCTGTCTGTGCTTTCAAGCTATTTGAGTCTATATTTTGATAAGAAGAGGAAAGGTCATTCTGATACGAATGTTCTTGTCTACTTTCAGTGAACATTAAGGGCTGAAAATTCTTTGCAGTTGAATTGGTGGGACTCCATGGTTCTCCTCGTGCCAGTGTAGCAATCTACAAAATTTATGTACATACATATATACTTATATATAATTACAAAATTATACATATACCTGAGAAATTTCAGAGAATTACAAGTAATATCATTAATAGCAATACACTACCTTATCTTTGTATAATGCTGCTGCTTTTGTATTATAACGCTGTGAGATAGACATGGAATCATCCCAATCAGGTTGACTTTCAAAAAACTCACGAGCATTTCTGTTGCCACCAACTTTCATCTTTTCCAACTCTATGTCTTTCCATTTGTCCATAGTGACAGAACGAACAAATGATAAATGCACACCTAAGCCACGATGCTTGCCAGAACACTCAAGACATATCCAAATACCATAAGTCACAGATACCCATTGTGGGTTGTGGTTACCACATTCAAAGCATTTCTACAAAACCCACAAATATAAAGTTGAAGATTTAATATATTTTTAATATATAAAAATTTAATTTACTTTTATTATATATGCATTATTTAGTATGTTACAAAAGAAAATAAAAAATGAAAAATTGTTGTATTTATAAAAAATATAAAAGACAACTTGAAACATATGCTATAATTGGCAATATATTTAAATAAAATCTTGTTTTTAAAATAATTTTTTCTGTGTATCTTTATAAAATTTATTTTTATGCTTACACTGTTCTCGTCCTTTAATTTTAATTCGCCTAGTACTCGTCGCGTTCGTGGGCTAGCCATAGTTAAATTCTTTACTTGACTCAGAAGTCTAAAACTTAGCCATATTATAATCACATCGATCAAGACACATCGACATTCGTTTTCTACTTACAAGTTCTCTAAAAGACACCCAAGTTTGTTTAACGCGCAAAAAAAAGAGAAAAAAGGTTTGTTAAAAATTTCTAAAGTAATTTTAGAAATTCTAATAATTTGAATTTAAAAATATCTTTTATTTCCCGTGAGAGCACATTATGTTGACAAAAACATTTTTCTCACAACACTAATATGCGTGAATGAAAATGAGTAAAAATATTATTGGAAAAATTATTTATTTCTTGATCTTTTGTATACGTGGAAATTCGAACATTTCCGAATTATTTGATGAAATACAACACGTTGCCAAAAGGTAATTTTCTCAAAAGGAGAAAATTCCTACGTGGCCATTTTAGGCTGCGTTCTGATATTACATCCAGAAGTACAACCATGGTGTAATAATTGGTTTGTTCTTTTTTACTGAACTAGTTGCACTCGTTCAGAGTTTGGGTGCTTTCCAAGTACGTACAGTGCGGAGCACCATATCGTGCGCCGTGAGGAGAAGTAGTTCTCCTCCAGCCGCCTCCTACTATCACGCGCCAGCGGCCCGAGTTTTAATCCATATATCGGCACGGTTACCGATGATACATACCGACGCGGTTACCAATAATACCGACAGACATATGTTATCATAAAACTATCGTGAACATTGAAAAGAGTAACTCTGCATTGAAANTGACTTCAATAATTTATATCAAATATTTATTTATTTAATTATTACGTGATATAATTTTACGTGATATAAGAAACTTCCTTACGATAAGTGCAAGAAAGTAAAATATATTTAAGTAAGAGAGTTAAAAACCATGACAATAGATAAATGTCATAGTGATTAATAAAATATTTTCAAACATTATTTAAATATTAAGAATAAAAAATCAAACATTATACTA